AAGAAAGAAAGAAAGAAAGAAAGAAAGAAAGAAAGAAAGAAAGAAAGAAGAAAGAAAGAAAGAAAGAAAGAAAGAAGAAAGAAAGAAAGAAAGAAAAAGAAAGAGAAGGAAGGAAAGAAAACAACAAGAAATATTTACTTTCTCTGATTTCTGTTTTGCCGTTGACTTAGATAAATGGATTTCTTGGCTAAGTACTCTGTTATATTCATTGCAGAACTGTTATTTGATGGAAAGAGAGTCATGCCTTAGATATAAAGCTTAGAATTCAACTTCCCATAAATGAACAGAGATCAGAAGTTTAACTTGAACCTGAAAACCACACTCCCTAGTCTAACAATCATTAAGGGGGTGGATACATGTAATTCAAGCTCGGTGGCCCCTCACTGTATTGAGAGCAGAGTGATGGCCACCCTTTAGTTTCAAGTTCCTGCTTTCCCTCCTGGCAGGAAATCATATTTCCCTCAGATACCAGTTGGCTTTGGAACTCAGATTAGGTTGAAAAGTTAGTTTGGTTGTGTAACCTTGAAGGTTATGAATGAATGAATGAGCATGTATTAAGTTCTTACTGTGTGCAAAATACTGTACTAATTAAGCACTAAAGATACAAAAAGAAAAGCAGAAATAGTCCCGGTACTTAAGGAGTTCACATTCTAATGGCCAAAACAATTTAAATGAGAGATTTCAGCTGCAAGTTAGAACTGAGATATTTCCGGGAGAGTTTATACTCTGACAGATCCTGTCACGATAGAAGGGCTTCAACTACAGGCCCAGTGGAGGATTGTATACATCTGTCTGCTGAGGTCCAGTCCTACAGACACTGCAGCTTTCGAAGACCATCAGGACACCAGGAAGGTTGTGTCCACATTGATGGAATAATAGGTCCCAGAGATACCGGAGTGGTTGTATGCTTCTAATTAGGATTGATAGATTCCAGGTGGGAAGGGACCTCATCAATTACACTATGCCAACTCCCTCATTTTCCAAATGATGAAACTGCTCCTCACAGGGGTTAAGTAACTGGCCTACAGGAAGTAAACAGGCTTCAAACCCAGGTCCTCTGTCTCCAAATTCAACTATAGTGATTTCTATGAACTAATCTCCATTTGCATTTAATCACCATAAAGCATAATAGTTTCAGGACCTTGGGTGCCCCAGAAAACTACTCCAGGTTTAAAACACATTGTGGGTCAACAACATCCAATCAAACCTATGACTCATAAGCCCCAACCAATGTGTTTATTTTACTAGATTATCCATCTAGAAGAAGGTCTAGTTTAAAGCAAAAGATATTCAATCTAACTTAGTTGCTGTTCAGGTGTGTCTGAATTTTCGTGACCCCATTTGGGGTTTTATTGGCAAAGATACCGGAAATTTGCCATTTCCTTCTACAGCTTATTTTACAATTGAGAAAACTGAGGCAAACAGGGTTAAGTAATATACCCAGGATCACACAGCTACTTAAGTGTCTGAGGCCAGATTTGAACTCATGAAGAGGAATCTTCCTGACTCCAGGCTCTGTGTTCTGTGCACTATGGCGCCACCTAACTGTCCTTTTAATCTAATAACAGCAAAATAAATTACAGGAATGTGTCCCCCCCGCCCCAACCCATAAAAAATAGGAAACATTTCCCCACAAATTAGCAAATGACCAGTGGGAGAGGGGACACATCCAGGGAACATGCCCGACTAAGAAACTCGTACATAGAAGGACACTCAAAAATATAGCCCGGGAATATGCATTGCTGGCTAGTTCGTGCTTCTGATGCTGCAGAACTGCAGAAGTCCTGGAGGGATGGCATTGCACTGCCCTCTTCGGGGTATGTCTAGTGAGCGACTCTCCTTATAAAGCATCGTCATCTTTTGGGGACATCTTCCCTGAGTTCATGCTGCTCTCTGATGCCACCTGCTGGTGTTCAACTGTACTGTGGCTTCCCAGGGGAAGGACCAGCCAGCTTCTAAAATGGAGGTTTTAATTTCAGTGCAACCTTAGATCTCTTGTGATACAGATCTCAGCCAGCTAGTTCGAGAAGCCCCTAAGCATCTTAATCCATTTTATTTCTATTCTATTTCTATTTTTCTCCTTCTAGCACTTCAAGTCTTTAAGTCTGCTTTTCACCTTTGGAAAAGACTGAAAGGAGCTGGCAGTCATTATCCTACTCCCAACCCCCCAACCAAATCACCACACTCACTACGTTATTCTTCACGCCATGAAATGTATATAGAATAAGCTTTGTTGCAACTGTTAAGCAAAATAACCCTAAACTCTGTCCATTCAACGTCAATCTCAATTAGTCTTACAAGGTGGTAATCTACTCTTTGTTTTCAAAAATTAAATGGAATTTTGACCTTCAATAGACTATTATATGACCTAGCGGTTTCAGTGTAGGCTTTGTAAAGCAAAACTGAATTCTGTGTAACTACAATGACCAAGCTTGGTCCTAGAAAAGAGATTTTAAAAAATGTAGACTCCTCTTTTCTGGTGATTGGGAAGGGAGGATATGGGTGTGGAACAATGCACATACTGTCAGACTCAGCTGGTGTGATTAGCTTCCCTGAGATGTTTTTTTTCCTTTTTTTTTTGTTGTTACAAGTTGCTGTTCCTCCTTGGTTCTCCAAGAGGACTCGACAAGGATGATGTCCTGATCTGCACATGAATTGGATCTGAGTGGGGCAGAGCTGAGCAGTCATCAGCCTCACTCTCTCCTCCAGAGTCATGGGAGTCCAGTGCCAAGACAAAGGTCAAGATGACTGGCAAATACAGTGGGTGACCTTGGCCTTTCTAAATTAAGGTGTCAGTTTGTCTGAGGCCACGCCTAAGGGGTGAGAGATATATTCAGAAATCAAGGTGATATAAAGACAAAAGGTTGAAAATATATTTACACCTTGCTACAAATATGTGGGTTCTATACGGCGTTTCTCCTGTTTTGGATTAGTCAGTCAACGAGCATTTATTAATGGGGATACAAAGTGGGGATATAAGTGGGGACAGAAAGAAAGGCAAAACAAACAAACAAAACCTAGTCCTTGCCCCCAACGAGCTCACCGTGTAATAGGGACGACAACAGGCAAACAACTATACACAAATGAGTATATACAGGATAAACTAGGCATAGATTTGAGGGAAGTCTAAGGAGACTAAGAAAGGCCTTTTGCAGAAGGTGGGATTTTAGCCGGGACTTGAAGGATGCTAGAGAAGCCAGGAGGTGGAAACGAGAAAGAAGAGAAACCCAGGCATGGGGGACAGCCAGAGAAAACACTCATGATTGGGAGATGGCTTGTCTTGTGCAAGGAACAGCAAGGTGTTACTGGATGTCAGTGTGCATGGAGGGAGTAAGGTGAAAGAACACTGGAAAGGTAGGAAGAAGCTAGGTTATGAAGGGCTTTGAATGCCTGGGGGGTTCATATTTAATCCTAGAGGGGACTGGGAGCCACTAGAGTATTATTAACCCTTGAATATTATTATTGAGTAGGGGGTGGTGGGGCAGCATGGTCAGATCTGAGCTTAGGAAAACGACTTTTGTGATTGAATGGAGGCTGGGCTGGAGTAGGGAGAGACGTTAGAGAAGCAGACCCGCCAGCAGACTGTGAAAATAGGAGGCGATTAGGGCCTGCACCAGCACGTGGCAGCACCAGAGGAGAGAAAGGGGGAACGTCCGAAAGATGTTATGAAGGAAGAAAGGAAGGGACTTAACAACTGACCAGATGGGGGCAGGGGAGGGAGATCTGTGCTAGCAGTGGTGTGAGGAACTCCAGGTGCGGGAATTCCCTTTACTAATACAGCTATAACTCATCTTTCATTTACAGTCTTCGGGAAATTCCTGGGACACTAGTTGATTGTCTTACCCAGTGATCACATTCCTAGTATATGTCTGAGGCAGTACAGCCCTCTACCTACTACTCCTTGTGCTGAGTGTGCAAACCTGAGTACTTTGTAGAAATGATAAGACAACAAGGAGACTTGTGTCAGCCCAGCTCTATTAAACATAAATACTGAGGTCAAGGAAAGAAGAGAATATAATTTTCTGGAAACAAATGACTATGGAACCAGGGCTATGCAGGTACAGGAGAAATTCACAGGGTCCCAAGGTGGGTGGGAAGGTAGAGGAAGCTTAATGATGGAGAGAAATCCCCGGAGTCCCAGTCCTGAAAGTGCTTCCAAGGAAAAATGAACTGCTATGCAGCCTAAGGAGGGTTCCAGTCTCCAACCAGGTGCTGCCACAGGCACAGCATGCCAGTGGGCATGGGCACCTCCATGTTTACTTACTCAACCAGCCCCTCCCTTTCTCTGCAACATCCATAACAACAGTTATCTTGCTAGCCTTCCCTTAACCTCTGGTGATAGGGGAAGGGAGAAGAAATACACTCCACTGAGACATTATTCCTATACATGAGAACACTTCTGTAATTTTTGTCACATAAGCCAATGGAATCATTAGATTCATTTTTCATAAAGTTACACAAACTTTTTCTATACTGCATGTATACCATAAAGCAAGCGCTGGACTTAGAGCTAGGAGGATCTGAATTCAAATCCTGTCTCAGACACCTACTAGCTATGTGACCCTGGGCAAATCACTTTATCTCTTTTATAGCCTCAATTTTCTCATCTGTAAAAACAAGGGTAATAATAATACGTACCTCATGGGATTATTATGAAGATCAAATGTGGTCATGTGTGTGTGTAAGGGTGAAGGTTGATTGTGTCAATCAATTACTCCACCCAACTTAGGTAACTCTGCAAACTAGAAAGCACTGTGTAAATGCTAGCTATTGTTTTCCAGAGTAGAAGCATGAAATTAGAGGACTTTAGAGTCAGAAGGGACCTTAGCTGTTACCTGTTCTCCCACACCCCCTCAATTTACTTCATTTTGATAGCTTTTATTTTCTGGACCACGGTGATATTTTTGTTGAAGGCTAGCTTTGTTCTCAATGAGCATAACTGCCCCCCCCATCTCCACCCCCACCCCCAAAAGGAGAAAATATAGAATAAATCCAGGCCATCCATGTCAGGTTTAGTTTATTGAGTTAGTTGTTCAAGGAGGGAGGTATCTCCCTACAGCAGCAAAGTACAGGTGTTAACAGTGTGAAATCTGGAAGTGCAGGCAGATGTGGGGTGTGAAAGGGGCTTCTACTAGACCAAGGTCTCCTTTACGATCCCACCTGACCTTGGTGACTAGGTAGCATGCAGGAACCTCTTGGAGAAGCTGTGGGACCTGGATTCTCACAGCTCAATGGTGGGGGAAGCTCCAATCACACAATTTGATTTTCTCTAAGAAAAAGAGAGAGAGGAAAAATATTCCTTGAGCAAGTGTTGATGAGTTCTCAAATAGCCGTACAGATGATTAACTTCCTTTAACTGGAGAGGAACAAGTAAGTTCCAGTAGGCAAGACAGGTCTCCACTAATTCAGAAAGTGCTAAGCAATGTGCAGCACATGAACGTGGTGGTATATTGTTGCCCCATAACAATGGATCAATAGGGGGCAGCTAGGTGGCACAGCGGGATAGAGCACCGGCCCTGGATTCAGGAGGACCTGAGTTCAAATGTGGCCTCAGACACATAACATTAGCTTGTGAGACCTTGGGCACATCACTTAACCCCATTGCTAGCCAAAAAAACAACAACAATGGTTCAATAGGAAGAATTCAGAGATGCATGGGAATACATACTGACTGCTGTGGAGTGAAATAAGGGATAGACCCAATGATGCCAAAATCCCAGCTTAACACGAGGTAATTAGAATGACCAAGCTTGGCCCAGAAGAAGAGATGAGAAAATGGACTTAACTTTCCTTCTTTGCAGGTACATAATATTGCACAGGCCTTTAGGCTTATTGATAGGTCTATTAGTTTTACTAACCTTTTCCACCCCTACCCCACCCCCCACCCCTACCTTTTATACCCTGTTCTTTGCTATAGCAGATGACTTTCTTGGGGGAGTTGGGGGAGTGGGCAGAATTCATCTGGAAGTGAAGGTAATATAAACATTTATATATATATATATATATATAAATATAAACATTTATATATATATATATATATATATATGTATATATATATATACACACACACATATATATAAAATTAATAAAACATTTTAAAGAAAATACATTAAAAAAGAAAAGTCTCTTTATGACTTTAGCTAGCAAGTAAAAGGGAAAAGAGGATGGTAAGTTTTTCTTGGCTTCTGGCTTGATCTCATAAATGGGGGATATCCCACTTGAAATGGCATGGTGGAGAGGGAAGAGCACTGGATTTGGAATCAGAGGTCCTGAGTTCAAATCTCAGTACTTCCTACCTGCCTTGACTTGGGCAAGTCACTCTTTGTTCTTGTTTCCTCATCTATAAAATTAAGAGATCAGATGAAGTGATCTCTTTCGGCTCTAAATACATGGTCCTATGACCCAGGCTAATAACCATGGCTGTCAGGAATGGCCACAGGCATCCTCTGACCACGTGACTCACAGATTCATCCTTTTGTATTGCTTAAGGGCCTCATCCGCCACGATCTCCATGAACTTGGGGTCATCCCAGGAGATCTCGGCAGGCACAGTCAGCGTGATTGGCTCTGAGTCAAAGATCTGCACGACCACTTCTGTGTCGGAGGGTTTGGATGGGTCCTCTGGGTTTGAAGATCTGGAGTACACCTAGGGAAAGGGAGAGTAGAAGGAATAGCATTGGAAACTTTCCGTTTCTAAGGACAGGAGGATTTCCTAGAAGATCTCAGATTTGAAAGGGGCCTTAGAGGTTGTCTGATCCAGCCTCTATTGAAAGTATCAACTTTCTCTGCAACATCCACAGTTTTCTAATAAGGCTCCCCTTGACCTCTGGTGATAGGAGATGGGGAAAGAAAATAAACATTTCTCTCATACCTACTCTATGGCAAGCACTGTGCTGAGCACTTTACAAACGTCATCTCATTTGCCAACTCTCTACCTCCGGAAGCAGCTCCTTTCGTTTAAGGGGCAGCTCTAATTATTCAGAAGCTCATTCTATCATTGAGTCAAAATCTGCCTCCCCCATAATTTCCAGCCTCTGGTCCTCTGGGACCAAGCAGAATAAGTCTCTTCCAAAGAGCAGCACTTCAAATACTTGAAGACAGTCATCAAGCCCCTATTAAAACATTCAGGCAATTAGATGAAGAGGCAACTGGCATGCAGGGCTTGGAATCAGGAGGACCCGATTTCCAACACTGCCTTAGCTATTACCTTGTTGCCTGTGTGACCCCAGGCAAGTCACTTAACCTTTCTGTGCCCTAGGGTTATTGTGAGATCAAATGAGTAAGCATATTGAGAGAAAAGATTATTTTTCTCTTATATTAATAATCAATTATTGAATTAGGACGAGGATTTTTTCAGAAGCCTGTAAGTTGTTCAGTCTCTGATGGACATTGTTAATGGATGAGACTGCCCAAATCCATAGGGTACATGCCTTTCAATCCTGGGTAGGAGACCCCATGCAACTAGAGAGCCTTTCAAAGAATTTAATCTAAAGTGGGTGAAATCTGGCTTATTGTGTTCTATTCAGACAGGTCTGAGTGATCAAAGTCACCTCCCCCATTCCCTCATTAGAATATGTCCACCTCTCACTAAAAATATTCATTCTCTCATTACTTGTTAATGAATCAGAGTCGAATGCCACCCTGAGGAACACCCACTCTTCCAAGGGCATATAAGCATTAAGTGGGTTGCATGAGGATCTTGGGCATTCAAGAGTGCCACTGATCCCTTCTTATTAATTATCTGCTAGCATGATTAATAAAAGGATTAATTACACAGAAACTATGTCTCTCCAACTCTTTACATGTCACAATATGTAAAGCACTTTGCAAACTTTAAGATACTATATAAATGCTAGCTATAATAATCAACATCGATAATTACATCTAATTATATTATATATTATATCAAATATGTGTAATAATTATACCTATATAATTATTAATTACAGTTTACTTGTAAAAAATAAGATCTTAGAGTGGTACCATAGATAGAGTCAGCCTTGGAATCAGAAGGAACTGGCTTCAAATCCTGCCACTGACATATACTGACTGTGTGACCCAGGGAGGTCACAAAACCTCTCAGGGTCCCAGGCAACTCCCTTTGATTATTAAGTTGCATGACAGCTTTTGCTGTTGTTTACTTGTTTTTCAGTCTTGTCTGACTCATCGTGACCCCATTTGGAGTTTTCTTGGCAAAGATATTGGGGTGGTTTGCCATTTCCTTCTCCAACTCATTTCACAGATGAGGAACTGAGGCAAACAGGGTGAAGTAACTTTCCTAGCTAATAAGTGTCTCAAGCTGGATTTGAACTCAGGTCTTCCTGACTCCAGGCCCAGCACCTTATCCACTGAACCACCTAGCCACCCCTGCATGATAGCTACTTGTTTGCATTTATAGAGGGAGTTCCTAATATTAGTGAAATCAGACATCCAATCCAAAATAAGGAGGAGAAGGAGGAGGAGGAAGAGAATGAGGAGAAGGAGAAGCAGAAGGAGGAGAAGGAGAAGGAGAAGAAGAAGAAGAAGAAGAAGAAGAAGAAGAAGAAGAAGAAGAAGAAGAAGAAGAAGAAGAAGAAGAAGAAGAAGATGATGATGATGATGATGATGATAAGGAATAATTTCTTCATCATGGCACTTTCTCTCATTATTACCAAGCATTTTGATGAAATGTGAAAGCAAGAATAATCAGAAACCTGTTGGATCTATGAGTTATGGAGAAACTTTATATTTGTGAGTGGTTTGGGGAAAGGGGAGTTGTTTTCATTTTAATTATATCTACATTGAAGCACCAAATCCTTTATATTTCTAGAAATGGTAATGTTCAAGCAAACACTGAAAAGTTTTTGTCCAGGATATTGTATGAGAGATTCCTCTATTGGTAGGGAGTTGGACCAGATGAAATCAAAGGTCTCTTCTGACTCCAACATTCTAGAATTCTTTCCTCCTCCAGACTAAACCTCCCCACCTTCTAACTAAAGAGCTCTGAATCCCCTTCACCATCTCAACTGTTCTTCTCTGGACATGTTTCAGCTTGTCAGTGGCCCTCATGACATATGGCCCAGGACTGAAGCCACCACTCCAGATTCAGGCAGGCTGAGGCAATTATTCAAAGCATTGCTCTCACTACTTCATCCCTTTCCAGGGTGCACTCCTGACTCATCTCCACAGGACTTTCTCTACTAAGCCACAGAAACCTCTTGACCCTAGAAGCTCATTCACTCCACTCCTGGACTACAGGTCATATTGGAGTCAGCAAGACTCATCTTCCTGAATTCAAATCTGGCTTCAGACACTTACTAGCTGTGTGACCCTGGACAAATCACTTAACCCTGTCTGCCTCAGTTTCCTCATCTGTAAAATGAGTTGGAGAAGGAAATGGCAAACCACTCCAGTATCTTTACCAAGAAAACCCAAATGGGGTCATGAAGAGTCAGACGTGACTGAAATGACCAAGCAGCAACAATAATTGTGCTGACTGACCACTGGGAGCTCTCCTGAGGGCACCTAGCATCAGCACAGAAATATATTTTATACCAGCAAATCCTCCATCCCCTACGCCCATCCCTAATCTAACTGAGGTGCAGAAAAATCTAGAGAGGGGGATAGGGTTATCACATTCTAATGAAAGGCTTAAAATATTTATCCTTTTCATTTGGGGAAACCAAGGCTGAAGGAAGAGGTTCAAATTCTATTAAACTGATAAAATTATGACTAGGGTGAACCTGGCCTTATTTACCAAATCCTGGAACTAAGGGGGCACCACCTTGAAATTTAAAAGAAACACATTTATAATGATCCCAGCTCTGTCACTTACTCCACATGTGACCCTGGGTAGATCAATTAAACTCCTGAGTAAATCACTTAACCTCCCTGGCCCCAGTTTCCTCATCTGTTAAAAAAAAATAGGGGAGCTGGACTAAAAGATTCTAAGGTCCTTTTGAGCTCAAGATCTTAGCATGATATTTTATCATTATCGATCTAGAACTGGAAGACATCTCAGTCCAACCCCCTCATTTTACAATGGAGGAAATACAATCCCATGACAAATCTCAGGAAGCCCAAAGCCATCTATACATTCAGGACAGGTTGACATAGATGATGCCCCAGATGGGCTCTCAGTAAAAACCAAATGCTTGGGAAAGATCCCCAAACTTTTAAGATTGTCATTAAAAAACAGTAACAACAACAACAACAACAACAAAAACCCCACCTCTGCTCTTCTATATCCTGGGCTGGGTGGAACACTGTTAGTTTCCTAGCCAAGGAAATGTCCACTTACAGATATCTCCCAAATCAGTGGGAACTCTGGATATCACAGATGTACAAATTAGCAGATTGGAGAAATAGACAAAAAAATGGAGAACTCATCTAGTCTGAGGACACAAGACTGGGGCACGTGGCAAACACTTAATCTGCTTCATTTGCTCACAGAGAAGGCACTTACAGTGGAGACCTGGAGATAGTCTCCATTCTTGCTCTGGGTGAGGTTGGCCAGCCGGGACACCCAGCCAAACTGCCGGTTCAGCTGGTCCAGGAGGGAGGAGGTGTTCAGCATCTTCAGCTGGTACATCTGGAGAAGGTCTTCATACTCTCTGCCAAATTTCTCTATTATCCGAAGAGCATCTTCATACTTTTCCCTCAGCCGGCTCTGGCTTGGGTCTGTGTCAGAGCAGTCTTTCCACAATGAAGAGAAAGGCAGAGAATAGAGGCATGAGGTGAATAGGTAAGAAGAGAAACTTGGGCCTCCATCGGCCAGTTTGGGGTATTCAAGCTAGGCAGGGTGACATAGTGGCAAGAACACTGAATTTCAGTTCAAAAGACTAGAGGTCAAGTTCTGATCCCGACATTTATTAATTATATGACTTCAGGCAACTCAATCTCAGTCTCCTTTTCTTCATTTGTAAATGACAATACCTCGAGTATTATATATATTAAATATACCTCACAGGGTTCTTGAGTGGAAAGCACTTTGTAAACTGCTCATGTAAATTGGAACTATTACTGTCATTATTTTTATAACTACTCATTTCTCACTACTTCAGCAGCTAGGTGGTCCAGTAGACAGAGCATTGGGCTTGGAATCAGGAAAACTCCTATCCATGAATTCAAATCTGGTTTTAGATACTTACTAGCTCTGTGACCCTGGGCAATTCACTTAACCCTGTTTGCCTCAGTTTCCTCATCTGTAAAATGAGCTGGAGAAGGAAATGACAAACCACTCTATCGCCCTTGCAAAGAAAACCTCAAACGGGGTCACAAAGAGTCAGATGCGACTGAAATGACTCGACAACAAATAGCAACAATTCACTTCTTATTGAAAAGTCCCTAAAATAGCCTGAAAATCAGCTGTTCTCCCTAGTCTTTTGAGCTTATGCAAATGGCCCTGGGTTTTTCCTCCACACTTGCTCTTTGGGCATCAGAATCAGGGATTGGTTTTCCTACTTAGGTTAGCCATAGACTAGTCCTCCAGAGTTAATACAGCAGCAAAAAGCATAGAGGATAGTCTATTCTTTCACTCCCCAGTTGATGTCCTTTGTCTATTCCCCTTTGATGAGTAACAAAATATGCCAGGAGAATGATAAGAAGGATATGGCTTTCAAGCACTCTGCTACCCAATGAATGCACACTCCTGGCTAATAATGTCTTGGGGAGAGGATCACCATAAAGCTCTATTTTATGAGGGCGCCATTTTGTTCCATGGTGTCTTAAACTGCTCAGAACAATAAAATACTTTGGGTCCCTTTATGAAACCTCTGGCAAGAAACTAGGGTTGTTTTTTTTTTTAAATATGTTTTCTAAATTCTGTTGGGAGTTGTTAAGCTAAGCTTTTGTTTGGATAGTGAAAGGAAATGAAGCAAACTCAGGGTAGTTGAGAATGCTGCCAAGAGCAGGGAATGATTCCCCTCATAAAGAGGTAGCTCTTTACACTGAAAAGGAACTAAAGAGAGATATAAAAAAAAAATATCATGGAGGCAACAAAGAGTTGTGCTAAAGAAACAAATTAATACCATTTTTCTGATAATATACAATACCGTTTACCCCTAAAAACATCATCGAGTCATTTCAGTTGTGTCTGACTCTTTGTGATCCCATTTGAGGTTTTCTTGACAAAGATACTGGAATGGTTTGCTGTTTCCTTCTCCAGCTTATTTTACATATGAGGAAACTGAGGCAAACAGGGTTAAGTGACTTGCGCAGGGTCACAGTGCTAGTAAGTGTCTCAGGCTGGATTTGAACTCAGGTCCTCCTAACTCCAGCGCTGGTGCTCTATTCACTGTACCACCTGGTGCTCTATTCACTTAAAAAACAAACCAAAAAACCCATACATGTGAGAAAATGAAATGCTTTCCTTGAAGCAATAGTTTAGTTAATTAGTGATTGATAATAGTTGAGTTAGCTGGCAAAGACCTTTGCCTGGGTGTTTGTATGTCTTTAAATCTTACTCGAACATATATCACTTTCTTATATTTCAGTTCTACCAGGAGTTATAATTTCAACAGTGTAGGGATTTTTTCCCACCCATGAGGACTACAATCTCTTCACATCTTCACTCCCTGCAAAAAGTAAAAGGCTAAAAACCTCTCACTGGACAGTTTTCATGAGTTGTTATGGACAAAAAAAAAAAAATTCACTACCCAGGGGCCAACCTTTTTCTGGCAATGAGCCACTACAAAATGAATTAAGTTGGTCCTTTAATAGGAGACGCAGTTCATTCCCAGGTCCACACTCAAACCTTTCTAACAACCTCGAGGCTCTCACCACTCTTCCTTCCCCCCACCCCCATTCACTTCATGCCAGCTACTAGAATTGCAGGTGTGGTATCTTAGAGTAACCTGTTACAATAGGGCTAATTGTGCAGAATTTAAACCTGTGAAGCCACATGTCAGTCACTAAACTGACCGAGCTTGTAAAATGAAAAGACTACTGTTTCAGGATTATTCACACAATGGGAAGAGAAAGAAAGGCAAGTTTCTAGATTCCTGGTAGACTTTACAGCACCCATGAAGACAGAAATATTTCTTTTGCCTTTACAAAGAAAACAGTGGTAAAGTACTGAGATGTTATTTAAAGTGTCATTCTGACCCTAGGAGCCAACGATTGTCAAACCTTCTTATTATTGACCTGAGCTTTCTGCTTCTGGAAAGGAGAGGGAAAAACAGAACATGTTCTCTGTCCTTATTTCATAGAATTTCAAGCTTTGATTTGTCAGGATCCCCAGGCCAAGACCACCCCTCTCTTTTTACCTATCTCTTTTTATTATTAGGAAGCACCCTGTTTTACAGAGCTAAGGCCCAGCAAGCAATCTGTTCCCTGAGCCTGGCATAACAACAATCCTTTGGGCTCACCCTCTGGATGATCTCAGCCACAGCAAAATCCCAGAATTGTTTCATACCAGCACCAGGTGGTCCCTGAGCAGTGGCAGCACCCATGTTCCGACTGTAAAGTTCTGCTATGAATCAAACTTGTCTCATGGTTGCCGTTACCCCTCATTGTCAGGGCTACAGCTCACTGAATAAGGATTGGTATAAGTATTGAGATTTGCCCACACTAAAGTGGGTCTCCTACAAGAGGGGGGCCCCAGCACATGTCTAGCTTCCCTCCTCCAATGGAATAAAGAAAGCTTTTTGCTTATGACCACTGTTATCTCCTTGGTTTTATTTTGCTTTATTTTATTTTTTTAGAGTTAACTGTGGTTTTGATCATCTGTGTGAGCTCTTTGGTATTTTGAGAGTTAACAGCAGTCACAGAGGTGCTGTAGCTCTTTGGTCATTTGTTATTAGGGTTGGCAGATTCAAAGTCTAGTTTAAGTATTACTGAGACCCTTCCTAACCCATCAGGTTACTTTCTATATGCTTTCTATACATATCTGTGTACATGCTGTATCGCCCAAGTAGAATGGAAGCTCCTTGAGGGCAGAAAGGAAGCAGCATGTGGATCAGGGAGCCCAGTGCTTGGGCTGAACCACTGACTTCTTTGAAAAAGAACAACCTGACTGCTTGTTTGGAAGCCCTAAAAGGTCAGGCCAGGGCCCCACCTAAAAAGAAGGTTCCTTAAAATCGTGACATAATGCAGAGGCACTAAAAGAAAAATGGTGTGGATCTGGGTAAATAAACACGGTTTACGGTGAATGGTCACGGGATTGTAAATTTAGAGCTGAAAGAGACCTAAGAAATCATCTTGTCCAGTACCCTATCATTTTACAAATAATAAGACTGAGGTCCAGTTAAGTGACTCGTCCAAGATCACACAGGAAGTAAATAACAGAGCTGGGATTTGAACCTAGGTCTTCTGTTCTAAATTCAGCGCTCCTCCCATGGTACTACTGGTACAATGAATGGTATAAAGGGATATGTATGCTCCTTGGGCAATTAGTAAATAGTCATTAAGAATAACATTATACCTATGAAAAATATTTTCTCCATGCTTCCTTACCTACTGACAAAATCTCCCGGCACTTCTCACATTGATCTTTCATCTTCAAGCATCCTGCTGAGTTACGACGGATTTCCCGGCATACCATACGATCATTGGTGCCATTTTCTAGGGACAAAGGAAGAAGAAAATTGCATCTTGTCATGGTTTAGCTGCTGGCCAGCCATCAGAGGAAACAGCGTTTCTATGGTCCACATACATCCCTTTCTTCTCTGAAAACACATTTCTTCATGCCTACGTCTCTTCCTTACCTCCCTGTCTCTAACCCTGAATGTTTATGTACAAATATAGAGACTGAGGTTCACGGGAAAAAACAAAATTAATAACGAAAGCATCATTCTCCTAGGATAGAAACATAAGATCTTAGAGCTTGATGGAACCTTACAAATCCTTAAGGAGCATATTCAAAGATAGAGGTTATCCTCTCTTCATTTAATTTATTCATATCCACTGGTATTGGACTGGACTGCCTTGGAGGGTGACCAAAAACTCAACTAGGGAAAGGAATCAATTTAGTTGCTTATCTTTTTATTTTATTTTTGGGCATGTGGGGTTAGGTGACTTGCCCAGGGTCACACAGCTAGTAAGTATCAAGTGTTTGGTCTGAGGCTGGATTTGAACTCAGGTCTTCCTGACTTCAGGGCCGGTGCTCTATCCACTGCACCACCTAGCTGCCCCCAATTCAGTTCCTTATTAAGGGCCTACCACGTGCCAGGCACCATGCTGGATGCTGGGGATACAAAAACAACAATGAAACAATCCCTGCTTTTAAGGCGTTTCCACTCACTGACAACCAGCAAAGTGGTAACCAGTGCACAGCCCCAGCCTTCCTTCACCTTTACTGATCCAGAAAAGGGGAATCACCACAGTTAAGCTGGGGAAGGAGACAGGAAATCGGTCTAACTGTCAAGGTCCAGGAGACAATCAAGGGCTATGGTATTGGGGAAATTAGAACAGGGTTACATGGGCAAAGGAAGCTGGGGAGGGCCACAATACCAGCTGCCCATAGCGCCAGTCTGCCCTTACCCTCTGCTATTTCCTATCTGTGGGACACTGAGCCCGGCACTTAATTACTTTGTTTTCTTAGCTTTAAAATAAAGGGGTTGGACTGGGAGGCCTCTAAGGCTTTAAATCTATGATCCTATGACCTTATCTATTCAGCCTTGCTGGGATTTACAATGAGAATGGTTTGAAGAGAAAGGTATGTTGTTGTTAGCCTCTCCCCAGATACCTAAGTAACGTGGGGCGGCAGCCACAGCCAAAGCTTCCATCCCAAGGCCCACCAACTCCTGCCCTTCTTGACAATGATACCTTCCTGCCCGCCACTGGAAAATTCTCTCCCAAGGCAGAGCGCTGCCAAACACTGACCAAATTTATTGTGTTTAAAATATATAGATTCCTGGACCTCTCTCTGACTCTAACAAGTAAGCAGTAGTCTTCAGAAAAAAACAGAAAAAAAAAAGATCATAGATTTAGCATACGTTCCCAAAATGGGTGATACTGCCGCCTGGGGAGTGTTGGAATGATGGGAGGCGGGGCAGTAGTAGCCTTGGGTGCAATTAGGGGGCACTGAATAAAAATAAAGGGGCCGCAAAAGCATAAGCAAAGAAAAAAAGATAAGAAAATTTTGAAAAAGCATTCATACATGTTTCATCTGTTGAGTAACAGAGTGAAAGTCTTAGTGATTACATTATTTTCCAAATAGACACACAAAATACAAATGATAACCAATCAGTGGTTGAATCCGCCGACAAGTCTTAACAAGCAAATGTTGGCAAGTGAGCATGTTCCACATTGTCAGAAGTCCAGCATCCACTGGCAGAAATATGTACATGTAATGACTTGTATGTAATAGGATACTGTATGGTTACATGATACAATATTGCATCATCAAAATTTCAATGTAGGAAAAAGCTCACAAATTTACAATAAAGGATTAAATTTAAGATGCATCATTTTTAAAAAATACATCTATTTTGAAATGATGCAAATTTTTAAAAAAAGTTAAAAGGTTAAAGAAAGTAGATTTTCAGGGGGGCAATGAGTAATTTTTTTAAAAGGGGGCAGTAGGCCAAGTAAATTTGGGAACCTCTGATTTAGAGCCACAGAGGACCTTAGGGGCCATCTACTCCAACCTTCTCATTTTGTAGATGAAGAAACTGAGGTCCCTAAAGGTTAAGTGACTTGCCCAAGGTCACATGAGTGACTGAAGCAATATTTGAAGTTAGGTCCTCTGACTCCAAACCCAATGTTCTCTTTCTCTGCACAAGAATCCATTTTAGCTTAACCTCAACACATGGCTTCAGAACAGAAACAAGTTGAAAGGCTCAGCTTTTGCTGCTGATCTTGTATAGACCTATGTTTCTGAAAAAAAAATTATTCTGAACTTACACACACACGTGCACAAAGAGCAATTTCCACATAACAGAAGACAGACAGGATTCTTTTATTTATTTATGTAGATATTGTTTCCCCAATTAGAGTGTAAGCTCCTTGAAGGCTAGCATGGTTTTTGCTTTTTCTTTGTAGCCCTAGTGTTCATCACAGTGTCTGGCACATAGGAAGCCCTTAATAAATGCTTGAGGATTGATCAAGCCTAGCTCCCTTATCTAGAATAAGAATGAGATGATCTCATTTGTTCTGAATATGTGGACACGTGGGTTTTAGGCACAAGGCACTCTAAGTTCCTGGGAAAATGTTAGTAGCAGGGAAGAAGAGAGAGGAAAAGGAAAAGAAGGAAAGAAAGAAGAGAGAATTAACCTAATGTGAGAGAGAAGAATGAATGAATAGTTCCAATTTATGGAGAACCAACCTGAAGTGTGATAGCTGCTGAGATTCCATTGTCTTTCTCTTTCCATAGCCCTGTGGGCACTTTCCATAATCCTCTGGGACATTTCAAAGAATGGCTGGAACAGGTGCTGGAAACCTACTGGGTGTTGGGAGAAGAAAGATGGAATGTCTCGGACCACTCTCTGCTTTTGGAAAAACCAAGGTCGGAATCGGGGCCTCGGAGAGTCGTCGAATACCCCTCTGAAGGGGCTGATGATAAAAGGGTGTGTGTTCTCAGGGAACAAGGGGCTGCCCTGGAATAACTCATCAATGTTGTGCTGGACCAAGCTGTAATTCTCTTCCAGATTCATCAACCTCTGTTCTTGTTCCTGGTCATCTTTCAACAGAGTGTCCATGCGATCCCCATTTAACCAGATGGAGAAAGGCGAGGACTGGTTCAGGAACTCCTCTAACTGGAAAAGCAAAGAAAGGAACACCTCAGTGCCAAACTCACCTGCATCGTTCACTCTTTGTGTTGGGAAACTGAGCCAAGCTGGGGGTGTAGTTATTTCTATAGGCCAAGTGCCGACAAGGGTGAGTGCCAAAGGTATCATTTTAGGGAAGGATTTTTGTTTGTTTGTTTGAATAAGTTTAAATAAACTTAAAGGAATCTGAGTGGGATTCTAGTTAAAAGTACTTTAAAAACCATATCCTCCCACCCCCACCCCTAAATACCTACTAAGTATATACTGGAGTTGTAAGGGGCTTATGTTAACATGGATAAGGTTTACATAAGTTTATCTCAATTTACTAAAAACCCATCATTTCCATATATTCCCTCATCTCTAGCCATTGATGGGCCTTGCTGCTGGAATGACTTATCCAGCCGGGCTGTCCCTTTCACACAATAGGAAATTACATTTGAATGCCAATCACCCCTCAGAATCAGACAGAATGAGGAAAGGTTAAAAGTCATCATTTCAGGGAAGGGAAATAGCTATTTTTATGTAACAGAAATTTTCTCTCCTGGATCCTACATATGACTTTTTCCTCAATTTTGTTTTCCTTCTAGTAGTGTCTGACTTCTTGACCCCTTTGGGGGTTTTCTTGGCAGAGATACAGAGTGGTTTGCCATTTCCTTCTCCACCTCATTTTACAGATGAGGAAACTGAGGCAAATAGGGTTAAGTGATTTGCCCAGGGTCACACAGCTAATAAGTATCTGAAGCCAGATTTAACTCAGGAAGATGAGTATTCCTGACTCCAGACCCCCACACTCTATCCCTTGAACCACCTAACAGCCCTCTATATTCTAATGCAATTTTTATGTATCATAGTTGTCTGTATCTTGGGTTGTACTCAAGGCCTGCTAGATTCTAAGTTCCATGAAGGCAAGGACCATGAATTATTTAAATGTTCGCTGACATGTTTAGCAAGGCAGACTCCACAGATTTCTATATTAGCACCCACTCAGTTGTTGGTTGAATTTCCTAGTCAAAAACAGGCAAATACAGAGGAACTCTGACAAGAGGGAAAATTTTCAGGTGAGGGAAATGAGGAAGAAAACCTGGGTCTAGAGGTACCTCCCATATACCCTTACCACCCAAAGACCTGGAAACATCACCAGTTTTGAAGAGATAGTTGCCCCCATCCCTATCATTCATTTCAGTCTGGATTTTTTTGGGACAGGAAAAGAGAAAAAAGAAGAAAAGGGGCTCCATGAAGCTTTAAGATAAAAGGGCTATTTTTTTTTGTAATGTGCAAATCCTTGTTATTGGTAGGTGTTTTTGGTTTTTGGTGGGGGTTTTTTGTTTTTTATTTTATTTTATTTTTGAAGCACTATCGATCGTAGCTTCTTTTCAGGCTTTAGGGTCTCAAAGTCCTATAGAATTCCAATTTAGATTATAGGGAGGAAAGACAGGGAATCGCTGGCCTAAAACCAGAGTGGGATTTTTTTTGGTACTCAGGAAATAGTCTGTGTATTCCCCTGGGTATATCTGCTTGGGTTTGACTCACCAAAGATGCAATGGATCTGTGGGCATTCCCTCCAACGCTGCAGACTGAAGCCTGTGTGTGACTGCCATCCCATAAATCTGCCACTGGGGCAACCACCCAGCTTGACACTGACAACCTCACTGAAGCACATGGGTTGTCCACTAGTTAGGTCATGCCCTTGCTGAATGACCAGCCCATCTTTTTTCCCCCTAGTCATATATTTCTCTGTGCTTAGCACATAGAAGGAAACGTCTCCTTATTCTTTGTTTAGAATGTAACCAACTGGATAATAGGTAGGAGTGGTAGACACAGTGGCTACAAAAATAATTTTGGTAAGAAGGGCAAAGATGTGGAAGCAGACCTCTCAATAAAAAGAGCCTAGTTTAGAAGGCTTAGGTCTAAGGTTGGGGTTAATTAGGAGAATTAGTATCCTAGAAGCTTCGGGTGCTATTAAGACCATTTCACCTAGGTGGACTATGACGTCACCAGGCCCTTCTGGTCTTGCTTTATTTCTAGCCTGGGTTTACCATTCTAGAAATAAGAATTCTTAGCCCTCATCAGTTTGAGCTACCTACCTCCTACTGGCTCATGAAGTCCAAAGCCATCATTTCTCAGTGGTTCATGGCTACTACTACTTTAACAGGTCCCCTTCCTTAACTCCCTGTGGGATAAAGGAGGAGGCTGCTGCTGTTTCCTTACCTGGCGGCCCACAAGGCCTGAGCCACTCCTGCAGACCTTTGTGTAGAACTTCATGCAGGTTTGTTTCAGGCAAGGCTTGCATTCCTCCCACAGGGCCAGCATGGTATCGTTGCACACCTCCGGCTTCCCAACCATCTGCTTCTCTAGGTTCTTGGCCTCTTGGATGGCTTCCTAGAGGTGGGGCAAAATGATACCAACGAATCATCCACAGAGCCACGGCATGCTTGATGCCTCAGACTTATTCCTGATTCTAACATGGGAATCTGATTACCACCATCCTTCATCCCCAAACCTGTACTATTCTGTCCACAGAAAAGCCCATGTGGTTCCTTCCTGATGGCTTTCCTCGTGGGAGTGCCAAGGCGGCACATGCACCTGATCCCACCCTGCCCTGCTCCCTATGCCCCAACTACAAGGGATATTCAAGCATCTGGATTTTTTTTTTTTGCTTTCCTATCACCACAAGCATCTAGAAGCAATGCTTTCAACCCTCAAGGAAAGCCAATTATCATTCTCAGGTAGTAGGGTCTCTCCATATCATGGAGAGCCCAGATCATCTCTGCTCCCTTATACTAAACCTGAGCAGGCCCAAGGAAACTATAGCCCTCAAGAATATATACTTTCATGACCCCTGGACAGACAGCCCAGGTCAAGGCTTCCCTTGCCCACCCTCTTAGAGTATTTCTTCACTGGAAGACAAGGGGAAAATATCCAAAATTCATCCACAGGTCACTAGGAAATGCCAAGAGGTTCTGGAAACTGCCTATTATATATTGTCCTTGGTATTTTGGTAGAAAACCTGGAAAAGACATCTATGGATCCCCAAAATCATTCCACGATGAGTCTGTGCTCCTGGGATGATTTCAGCAGGACCAGGAAGGTTCAGGTGAATAGGTCCCATATTCTCACTATATAAGTTGTCACTATATAAGCTGTCACTCCCTCAGTTTCAAAAAGCTTCATGTGAGAGAGTCAGAGAGTCCCTGTAGCTTCAGCCAAGCCCACAGGGCTTCCAAGCTTCCCATCTAGAAGCAACCGTGTTGGGGCAGCGAGGTGTTGGGGCAGCGAGGTGACGCAGTGGATAGAATACCGGCCCTGGATTCAGGAGGACCTGAGTTCAAATCCGGTCTCAGACACATAACACTTACTAGCTGTGTGACCCTGAGCAAGTCACTTAACCCCATTGCCTAGCCAAAATATAAAAAATAAAAAAATATAGATAGAAGCAGCCCTGTCACCGCAACTATAAAGAGGTCTCTTTTGTGGTAGTGACCTTAGCAGCTCCCCAAGGGGCATACACAGGCTAAAAGAAATCTAGCAAGAAAAGAAACCTACGACTTGTACTTTCCTAGGTTTGGCAAGTTTGCCAAAGAATTACATTACAATAGTAGCTAATATTTATATAGCATTTACTATGTGCTAGGCACTGTTAAGCACTTTACAACTATTTCCTTATTTAATCTTTATACCAACACTGGGAGGTTAGTACTATTATGATCTCCATTTCACAGATGAGGAAACTGAGACAAACGGAGATTAAGTGACTTGCCCAGGGTTATACTAGCACTAGTAAATGTCTGAGGTCAGATTTGAACTCAGATCATCCTGACTCCAGGCTCAGTACTCTACCCACTGCTCCATCCAGCTGCACAGAAGTGCCTCTGAACAGGGAAAGTACCATTGAGTTGGTATTTGAGCCAAGGTACTCTACCCCAGCTATGTGTGGTAACCAAGCCTATGTTGTTAGCGTGAGTGTTTCCTTCAAGGATGCCTAGGAAGGTACAGGTCCCTGCTAGGCTTCTGCTAGTCTGTGTATATCCATTGGAGGAGGCTGCTAAAATATAAGAGTGCCTATAGATGCTCAAGTTGCCAGGAGAGTAACTGGTGATGAGAACTCTGGGTAGACTAGTAACTATTTGTAGCTACAGTTTTATGTAGCCACAAGGCCCTATTGAACAAGAAGGGATGCTACGAGAAAGGGCAAAGGATACTCACAGCAGTGCCCTGCCCTTTGGGATGCTCATTCCCCAACATACACCTTATTTAGCTTCCAAGGGTGAAGTAGAGGAAGGAGATGCTAAAATATTAGGCAAGTCTTTTTATGAGACTGTAGGGCCTAGAGGATCCAGCTAAGGCCTTGGAACTGAAGAGCCAAGTTCAAACCACAGCTCTGTCAGCATCTCTGGGTGTAGTACAAGAGAATAACTATCCCCTCGTTTGCCCCATCAGCAAAACGAGCATCATAAAATGTCACCTCTAATAATGCCTTGTGTGATCAGCTTGCAATTGCCCATGCTAATGTGACACCAAAAGGCTACAATGCCAGGAACTGCTGAGAAAAATTTGCTGTGCAGCATCCAACACTCATTTCTATTTGACTCCTACCCAGTGGCCTTTATACTATACCAAGGAGGCTCAGCAAATGGAAAAGGAAAGGGACCACCAGGCTCTTGACCATTAATCCACTATTGGCTCTAGCATTCCAGCCTTGTCCCTAAACTGTAAGCTTCAAGAAGGCAGAGATATTCTATGTTTTCATCCCCATTTCCACCCACACTCTCTCCAGCTCAGTGTGTTACGCATGTTAGAAACCAATAAATATTTGCTGGAAAAAAAAATCAATGGAAGAAAGGTCTAGACTCTGGCAATTTGGCAATATCCCCTGGACCAGGATCAGCGCCACAAACAGGAAGCTAAAAGCCTTGACAGATCCTCTTTGCTAATCCCAGCAGGCCCCAAAACAAACAGCCGTTCCCTGTGACTCACTGCTTGCTCGACTACTACATTTTTAAAGAAAAATAATAACAACCAAAAACTCTTCAAAAACAAAACAAAAACTGAGCCCTACAACGGCTGCTTAAGACACTCTCCCAGGAGAATTTGAGGCTGCTGTAGCAATGTAACCAAGAAAATCACAGTTCTGGCTCAGTCTCCAAGGAAGGCATGATTACTCTTCCCTTATCTTCATGGTGGAGTCTACCAGGGGCACTTGGGTGTGGGGCTGTCCATTCTCACCTCCTTCTGTTTCTTGGCTTCTTCCAGGTTGTTGAGCAGCATTCTGCGGTCCTTTCCTGTCTTGTCCATTAGATTTTTCATCTGTTTCATGCCGTTGAGAGCATTTTCAAATTCATTACCTACGTATTTGCTCCCCTGGGCAGACATGTCTGTAACAGAAGGAGAGAGTGAGGCTGAGAGACAATCACAGAATGCTTGCAGTGGTGGGGACCCCAGAGAGTATGTAGTCCAAGCCCTTCAGCCAAACCCCTCCCCTACCCTATCCCCACCTCCAGCACCAGCTCATAAACTGCTCCCACCCTCAGTTTACAAATGAGTCAATGGAAGCCTAAAATGGGAGTTCTGAGCCCACAGCTCATAGTCAGTGTCTACAAAAAGGGAATTTAGGGTGGAAAAAATCTGCACCTAAATCCTAGGCTTGGTCTGGGGTCTGGAAAGGTATGGCTGATCCAACTAGTGATAAGGTGAGACAAATGTCTCTCCTGTCTGTGGTGACTCAGTGCTGTGGGAGATAGTCAGATTTCTTCATTCACCACTCAGACCATTAAATCTACCCACCTTCTTTGGTGCTGAAGAGGGCATTCATTCATTCATTCATTCATTCGTTCGTTCATTCGTTCATTTGTTCATTCACTCAACTTATTCATGGGACTTCCCTGGGGCAAAGATATTGGAGTGCTTGCCATTTCTTTCTTTGAAGTGTCCCCATTTTACAGATGAAGAACTGAGGCAAGTAGGGGTTAAGTGACTTGCCCAGGGTCACACAGCTAGTAAGTGTCTGAGGCCAGATTTGAATTCAGGAAGATAAGTCTTCCTGATTCCAGGCCTAGCACTCTATCCACTGTGCCACTTAGCTTCCAGGTTGGGGTCGCATACTGGCATATAGTGGACAGAGAGACATCCACTCTCCTTTTCTTCTACATAATCACAAAAGATCCAGCCACTGTTTGTGCCAAGAAAATTGGTCCAAAGTGAGATGAAGTCAATCTAAGGCTCTTCCTGGGACTTAAAGGAAGCAATCATAACACTCAGAAGGTAGCTATGAAGGAAGCTGGTGGGGAAGGGTGTAGGCTCATGAGAGCCCCTCCTTGGACTGGGTGCCAACTTCTGGTCCGCTCACTGTCCTTTTGGGTTTGACTGAGATTGATGGAGAAGTGACCTCCGGAGAAGGGAGGTATTCTTGTCCTCTGGAAGCTGCTAGACCCAGGGGCCTGCTGGAAGCAGCTAGACTAGCTCAAGAGCGCTTCCATTTTTAGCATAAGCATTGATGCCTCAAAAATTCCATAGCTACAAATCGGAGCTGGAGTTGTTGTTTTGACTGTTTAGACTTAAGAAAGTCTTAATTCAGATAAAAGTATGTGTTGTTGTCGCTGCTGTTCAGGTGCGTCCACCTCTTCGTGATCTCATTTGGGGTTTTCTTGGCGGAGACACTGGAGTGGTTTGCCATTCCTTCTCTAGCTCATTTTACAGATGACGAAACGGAGGCAAACAGGGTTAGCTAGGTAAGCTAGTAAGTGTCTGAGGCCAGATTTGAACTCAGGAGGAAGAGGCTTCCTGACTCTACGCCTGGCGCTCTATCCACTGTGCCACGTAGCTGCTCCATACTCCCCCACTCCCACCCCACCCACCACCCAGTCCAATTATTAAACATTTACCAGCATGCTCCTGTATTACCCTATAAATAATTGCTTGAGCTCCACAGGACTGTTGAAAAAGGCTTAGAGAATGAAATCATCACTGGACTACAGACCCAGTGACTCAGGCAGCAAGGTGGCTCAGTTGATAAGATACGAGCTGCTGGATCTTGAGTCAGAAAGTCCTGGCTCTAAATCCTCAGCCACTTACTAGCTTTGTGATCTTGGGCAAGTCACTTAACCTCTATTTCCCCACCTGTAAAATTGGGATAATAATAACATATACCTCCCAGAGTTGTTGTAAGGACATAATATATTGTGCCTAATAGGCACTATATAAAATATTAGCTATTAATAATACATGGCAATCATGTTGCTTCTTAAGGTTGGCAAAATATTTTATGTACATTGTCTCATTTGAGCTTTCCAACACCCCTGCTTAGACCCCAACCCATCTTTATTAGAACCACATCACTGCCCCATCATATCAAGAATGTACTCGGCTCCAGCGATGATAGAAGAGGTTTAAGCTGGCCCAGTGTGCAATCCCTCTAGTATCAAGCATTTTCTCCTCGCACACAGCCAACAACTCATGCTGAGCAGCAGCCCCTCTACAGATAACAGCACCCTTGTTCTCAAACCACCTTTCTGAGCAAGGCCTGCCATCACTCAATTTAGGTCAGTGTCTCTATGATAAATGGACACATATGGAGACAGCTGTGATGGAAAGTCCTCTGGCTTTGGTGTCTGAGAATATGGATTTGAATCTCAGCTCTGCTACTTAAGACTTGGGCAAATCATCTACCCTCCCTGGGCTTCATTTGCCTTCTGGGGTCCCTTCTGGCTCTAAACTGGGGAATCATATGATTTGTACCTTCCAACTTCAAAGCCTACAATTCTACGGCTTGTTGAACCCCATTGGCGTTCAACATCCTCTCAAGATTACAAAAAGTCTAAGACCTGGCCCCTACCCCAAAAGGTAATAACCTGGCTAAGAACATGATATTAATACACATCGGACAGTCAGAGAATAATACAAAATAGTATACAATTGAGGGTTAAATAGACTATATGTTAAAGGAGTTCACATATAGGCTACTGAACAGTGGATCAGGGAAGCCTTCTTGATGGAGGTGGTGGTCCTCTTTGAGAAACAACAACAAAAGTGGGGTAGGCTTTGGAGGGGCAACTGGGTGGAGAAGTGGATAAAACACCAGGCCTGGAGTCAGGAAGACCCATCTTTGTGAGTTCAATTATAGCCTTAGACACTTACTAGCTGTATGACCCTAGGCAAGTCCCTTAACCCTGTTTGCCTCAGTTTCCTCATTTGCAAAAGAGCTACAGAAGGAATTGGCAAACCACTCCAGTACCTTTGTCAAGAAAACCCTAAATGGAGTCATGAAAGGTTGGGCATGACTGAACAATAACAACAAAAAGGCTTTGGAGAGGTGGAAAGCAATGAGACAGGTGAATACAGGGCAACCAGAATGAGCTGAGCTGGCTTGGGGCACAGTAGAAAGACTGGCTGGACAGGACGAGAATCGTGGTAGACAAGCTAAGTAGGTAGGGTGGGGTCAGATCACAGGAGGCTTTGAAAGCCAGACTGAGGCATTTAGACTGGTGGCCCTAAGAAAAGGGAAGTGAGGGAGTCTGGGAGACACACTAGGAAACTCGTTCCTTTATGCCACAAATGTTTAGGAAGCGGATACCACATACAAGGCACAGTGCCAGGTGCTGGGGGGAATTCAGAAGATGCATAGGACACCTCTTTGATTGGCTTTTTGTACAAATTGTGCCCCATGCACAATTTTAATCTCTTTAATCTCTCCCATTTAGAATATCCCAGTTTTTGTCAAGACTCTATAGGAAGCCTTTCCTGAGCCTTCTCCTCAGCTGCTTGCTAGTGCCTCCTTCCTCCCCAATAAAATTACCCTGAATTTACTTTGTATATATTTGTGTGTGTGTATATATATATATGTGTGTATGTATGTATGTGTATGTGAGCATGTTTATGGCTTTCCCAGGAGTAGCGTCATTAAAAAGACGCATTATTATCAGCAGCTTTGCTGCTGAACCCTAAGGACCATGAGCCCTTTCCTTCTGACTTGCAGCTGAAATCTTCTCTAAGTGTTGTCTTCCCCATCAGAACGTGGGCCCCTTCAAAGCAGGGCATTTTCAAATTTTTCTATTTATGTGGCCAACACTTGGTACTTAATAAATGCTTTTTCATTCATTCATTTATTCATTTGTTTGTTTCCCCCTAAAAGAGAAGGTAAGGTCCCTGAAGGCAGGGACTATTTCATTTTTGCCTTTGTGTGCCCGGCACTTGGCACCATGCCTAGAACATTGTAGAGCTTCATAAACGATTGTTAATTATTTGACGTTTGACTTTGTGTTGGGGTTATTTGTACGTGTGTCTAATCCTTCCTTCCCCTAACTAGATTGTCAATTTCACGAAGAGTAGGAACCTGGTCTTATCTAACCTTTTCATCTTTCTGAGTGCCTGGAACATAATGGGTATTAATGTGCTCAATTGAAAGGGAGAATATCTGAAAAGCACCTAGCCTGGCCTACAGTAGGAGCTTAACACATGTTTGTCCGCTTCTCTCTACCCCATCTTCTTACTAGAATCTTTTGGAATGCCTGGTCTCTTCCACACTTCCACTCAAGCACCATCTTCTGCCTGAGGCTTTTCTGGTCCCTCCCACCCACCCAGCAGCCAGTGCCTTCTTCCCTAAGGTTCCCTTGTAGATATCTGTAGTGTAGATACTTCTATCTGTGCATGGTGTCTCTCCCGTTAGAAGCCAGGGACTGTTTGACTTGGTGTCCCCAGCACCCAGTCCATGGCTGTGCATATAGTAGCACGTAATAATTGCTTGTTGATGGATTGAGTCATACTGAAAACCTGGTCCTTAAAATAGTTTAAAATCTATAGAGAAATATGACAGCATTACCAACTTACCCTGGAGGTCATTGGGAGAAATCAGTGCCTCTCCTCTCTTCCAGCTTAGCAAAAGCCCAAGGAACGAAAGTAGCAACAGGGACTTCATTTTCCTTTGGTTTTTGGTTCCAGAGTCTTAAGGCAAGGAGGCTGCATGAAGAAAAAGGAAAAGATGGGTCATGGTAACCGTGGAGACAGAGCTTGCTGGCATGCACAGCCCAGTAGGCCGCCCTCCGGCATACTGGCAAAACGGCAGCTGCATAGGGCACTAGAAACCAAGTTTATAAGCACAGAATACAAACAGATTCGGTGTCAGAGTCAATCACTTCTTGACACTGGGTTCCAGTTACCCTGGTAATAAAATAAGGCAGAGGTCCTGGCCATCCCCAGTAAAGCCAAAAGGACAGAGAAGCCCGCTGATACAGACAGATGTCCTACAGAGAAGACTGAGCATTATTCTGGAGAGTTGTCTTTCCAGAACTGGGGGCAAGGATGGGAGAGCAAACTAGGCCGAGGAGGCACTGAGCCAGGAATGACAGGCCCCATCTCTCAGAAGCCTTTGTAAGGATTAGACTGTAAACATGCAGGTAATGAAGAAACTTTATTTAAACAGAACAAAACAAAACAAAAAAAAACCCTTCTACTATGCACAAGATATGAACAGATCGGATTGTCTTGAAAATATTTCTCTTATTAGGAACTCTGTTTTTAATAATAATAGCATGTATGTAGTGCTTTTAATGTTTGCAAAGTGCTTTACATATGTTATATCATTTGGTCCTCACAGCAGCAGATGAGGATACTGAGGCACAGAGAGATTAAGTGACTTGCCCAGGGTCACACAGATAGTGTCTGAGGCAAGATTCCAGTTTGGTTCTTCCTTGCCATCCATAGTGGCAACCTAGCTGTCTCACTTCATATGGACAGAATTTAATATACTTCATTTCATCTACTTACAAGTTCTTTTGAGTTTCTGATGCTATCATGGCCTGTTTTAATGCAGTTTCTATGATCACCCTCTTCAAAATAGCGTAATAATGTCTAAAATGGAATGATAGTTGTAATATAACAGAAAGAGCCCCTGCCTAGAAATTTGGAGATCTGAGCTGGAGTTCAAGGTCTGCCATTGTGTGACCTTGAGCAAGTCACTTAGTATCTCTTGGGCTTTCTCTCCTCATCTATAAAATGAAGTATTTGGAATAGATGGTTCCTAAGGTTCCTCTCAGCCCTGACATTCTGTGTCTGCTACCTTGCCCAAGACTGTGAGAGGAGACAAGAAATTCTGCAGGGAAGACAATTTCCCCTCTGGTCTCTTAGGTGCCACAAAGCCCCCACCGGGCAGGGTTTGGGAAGGACCACCAGCCAGGGTTTGGTTTGTTTTTTCCTTTAAACAGAACTCCTCCCTTCATTAGTCTCCTAGCCAGTGTGACCTGCCACAGTGTGACCATAGCCTTGGGGCCAGAAAACCTGGCCCACGCCCAGGGCCTCCCTCTTATGCAAGGGATACTTTCCCAGAAGCTAAGGGAGGTGTTGCACAAGACCTGAAACCCCCTCTGTCAGCTGAAGGCCACCCATTTCCCATAACCCGTTTGGGGGGGGGGAAGTGGGATCCCTTTTTCCTAGAATTATCCATTGTCTCTCCATCGAAAGCGACAGGAGCATTCTAAGGACTGGGGAAACAAGTGGGTAAACTCAGGGTGGGGGCCAGACAAAGTTGGACAAGGGCAAATACCCCCTCAAAGACCTGTTTTTGGTTCAGCGGCCCCCTTCCTAACACTTACACAAACATTAATGAAAGGGCGCCTCAGAGAAATTGCACAACTAATGAGTTGTCTGAGCTGTCTTTCCAGAACTGAGGGCAAGGATGGGACAGCAAACTGGGCCGAAGGGGCACCGAGCCAGAAGTGCCCATCCACATGGCCTGCGGCTAGGAACAGCCTGTGATTTTTTTTCCAGATACCCCCTCCTACACACACACACACTCTATTCAAAATATTGTGTCAACCTGCTCAGCAAAGCATGAGGGCTCCTCCTCCAGGGAATCATGATAGGATCAGGGATTTAGAGCTTGAGGGGGACTTTGGAGATCATATAGTCCAATTCCCTCAGAGAAAACTGGTGGCTCAGTGGGTAGAGCCTTTAGCCTGAAGTTCAGAAGACCTGAGTATAAATGCAGCCTCAAACACTTGTGTGACACTGGGCAATCTCTGTATGCCTTGGTTTCCTCAACTGTAAAATGGGGATAATAATTTGCACCTGTCTTCCAGAGTTGTGAGTATCAAACAAGATATTTGTAAAACACTTAGAACAGTCCCTGGCATGTAGTAAGCACTTAATAAATGCTTATTCCATTCCATTTTGCAGGGGCCTAAAGAGGCAAAGAGACTTGATTGTCACATAGGTAGCAAGAGACAGATAGGATTCAAATTCAGACCCTCTGAATCAAAATCCAACATTCTTCTACTATCACTTTACTCCCTAAAGAAAGTAAAGGCTTAAGACACAGATACTGTTATAGTATAGTGGAAAGAATAATGGATTTGAGTCGGAGCACTTGGGTTTTAATAATAACAACAACAATAATAAACATTCATGTAGTGCTTTATGGGGGCAGCTAGGTGACACAGTGGATAGAGTGCCAGGCCTGGAGTCTGGAAGACCTATCTTTGTGAGTTCAAATCTGGCCTCAGACACTTACTAGCTGTATGACCCAGGGCAAATCATTTAACCCTGTTTGCCTCAGTTTCCTCCTCTGTAAAATGAGCTGGAGAAAGAAATGACAAACCACTCCAGTATCTTTGTCAAGAAAACCCCAAATGGGGTCATGAAATTAGACATGACTGAAACAACTGAACAACAACAATAGTACTTTATAGTTATATAGTACTTTGTAAAGCACTTGAAAAATGCTTTAAAATATTATTTCAGCTAATAAGTGACTGGGGCCATATTTGAATTTCTCACTCCAGGTCCAAGGTTTCATCCACTCTACCCGCTAGCTGCCTCAAGCTCTGGCACTTACCACCTATGTGATCTTGGGCAAATGTATTGACTTCTCTGGGCCTGGGTTTCCTATGATTCTATGAAAGCAATAGTGATTTCAATATCTACTACTGGTCTCAGAGCCCGACTTTCTTCAGGATTCAGCTCAAATCCCACCTTTGGAGGGCCTTTCCCCTTCCCCCATCCCCCCCCCTTACTGCTTTCCCTCTGAGATAACTTTCCATCTACTCTGTATATACCTAGTATGTACATCACTGTTTGCATATTGCTCCCTCTTTAGAACGGAAGTTCCTTGAGGGAGCTTGTTTTTTTAGCTTTCTTTGTACCCCAGGGCTTAGCATACAGTAAACATTTAATAAATATTTCTTGACAGAAGTCCTGCATGCCTAAGAAAAAAGGACATCTACTTTTAAGTTTTGCATTGCGAATCAGAGTGAGTTGAAGCTCAGCTATGTGGGTTGATGAACTGAGGTACGCGTGAATGAGCATTACGCAGATCCTGTTCAAAAACAGCCTGGTCATGTTCAGGCTAACCTCTCTTCCTTCCTTTCCAGAGCTCTGCCTAAATGTAGTTTTATTTGCCTGACCTTGCTCCACATCGATTCAATTTCCCCATCACCTTCTAGTTTGTCAGCTAGCTCCTGCTGGGTGGGACAAGGACGCAGTGCTGCCCAGCTGCTCCCATTGGGTGATCTTCACCCCTCCCCTCCCTGCATTCCCCAGGCACATCGATCCAGGGCTGTATTCCTGAGACCGGACAACTTGAAGTGACCTTGCAGGTATTCTGTTCTCGGTCAGGGCTGATGTCACAGGCTCAGACAGGCCTAGTGTCATAAGGGCTAGGTGTAATGGGCTTAGGGGGTATGGCATGAAGGTGAAAGGAGGAGACAGGGGAAAGAGAATGCCCAAAGGGCTGGTCCAGACAATGCCTTTTTTTAACCTCCACCACAGAAAGAATAATTCCCCCCTTAGAATCAAAGCACAAGCATAGTTCAAAGGAGAGATGTAATTCACCTCCCCTAAAAGTACCCAAACCCTTATTCTGCAACATGTGGGGGTCTTGAGCCAGGGGAGAGTAGGGAGGTTCAGAGAGAACAGCAAAGGCAAATGCAAGAAGGTAGAAGATGGAGAACCATACATAAGGAAGAGCAAAAAGTCCATTTGGCTACACTGTAGTGTGTGTGTATGTGTGTGTGTGTGTGTGTGTGTGTGTGTGTGTGTGTGATCAGAGGGGGAAAGGGACAAGGTTATGAAAGACTTTAAAGGCCAACGTGAGCAGTTTATATTTGATCCTGGAGGCAACGGGGAGAATGGAAAGGTCGGGTGTGGGGCTAGGGGAAGGGAAGAGGAAGAGGTAGACAATTTCAGGCGCCCCAAGTTTCCCTATTGCTCCAAACTAAGCATTTGGATCAAATGAAGGTTTCCTGCCTTTATCAGAAATCCCTTCCTCTCCCCACCTCACCAATCACCATTCAACTCAGTTCAATCCAACAAGCATCCAACCAATAAACATTCCCTTAGCTGCTGTTTTGTGCCAAACACTGTGCCTACAATACTCCCTTGCAGCTGCTCTGTTTTTTAACCACCTTATAGGGCAGACTCCCTCACCCTCATCCGAGGGTCTCACATATCTGTAGAATCTTAGAGTAGGAAGGAAAATCGGAAGTCACCTCACCCAGCCCCTCCTCCCTCAGCCTCTCAGATGTGCAGTTCAGAACAAAGAGGATGCAGGAAGCTGGTCTAATCAATACACTGCTGTTGAAGGATGCCTATTCTTGGCTCAGTAACTGCAAAGGTCTGGGGGACACCAGAGAAAGGGAAGCATAATTGCAGAGACTTTTAGAGGTCCTGAATGATGCTAAAGGGCTCATGAGGGTCCAAATTAAATAGTGACCTCTTGAAACTCTATAGGAGGGGTGGGGAACCTGCAGTCTCGAGGCCACATGAGGCCTTCTGGGTCCTCGGGTGCAGCCTTTTGATTCAGTCCAAGCCTGGAAATCTCCACAAGGCAGCAAATGATCCCCTAAAATCCTCTGGTTTGGATTGACAGTCCTGAGCTAGTCCCAGAGGCTTTTAGGATTTGATATTCCGGGCAGGGGAATACCAGAAGCATGATGGCACCTTGAGCACTGACAGTCAGTCAACAGTCAACAAGCCTCCTATGTGCCAGGCAGCACATTACAGTACTTGGAGTAGTGGGATAGAGGAAACACTGAACTAGAGTTAGAGGACCCGGTTCTGGTCCTGCCCGTCTACTCCTAGCCATGCTGACTTTAGGCAAATCCTTCTACCTCGCTGCAGTCTCAGTTTCCTCTTTCTGTAAAACAGGAATGATATTATCTGACCTCTGCCTTTGGAGGTGTGGTGAAGATGAAATAAAGCAACAGAAAGAAAGAACTTTGAAAACCACAAAGGAGGTTGCAAATGTAAGCTATAATTCTTAACATTTCTGAGACCAAGTAAGAAATAATCCGTATGCTGGAAAAGGAGAGGGAGAGAGTTGAGGGAAGCTATCCAGGTCTCAGGCTGCTAGGTGGCCCTAGGTGGCAGAGTGGGCCAGGAGTCAGGAAGACCTCAGCCTTAGACACTTACCAGTTATGTGACCCTGAGCAAGTCCTGTAATTGCTGTCTGCCTCAGTTTCCTCATCTATAAAATGGGGATAATAGGCTGTCATGAAGATAAAATGGGATATTTGTACATAGTAGGTGCCTGGTACATAGTAGGTACTTAATAAATGCTTATTAAATCTAAATCCTAATATGACAGGGATTCGGTAATAATCTCTGTGCTGAAAAGTAGGGGGGAGGGAACCTAGTCAGGGGTTGCTGGATACCTTAATGGGGATAAGAAGCCATCCACTGACTATACTTTCCACTTTTTCCAATTCTTTTGCTGGTCTGGTTCTTCCAGCTTAATTCCTTTATGAATCTGTCAGTATTTTTCAGTGTCCTCTTGTCCACCCACACCTCCTTATCCTCCCACCAGAATTTTAAGCCTTGAGCTGATGGATAACACAGGGATGGGTAAATACCTGCTGCAACTGGGTGGAACCCTCAAATGCTCAGTCATTAAGCCTTTCTAACTTTATTCAGCAAACATTCTGCCTACAAAACTCTTCTGTGGTTTAAAAAAAAAAAAAAGATAAAATAGCCATTATCCCCACCCTCAACAAGGCCATCAGGCGGTAAGTCACCTCAGACAGCTCAGGTAGCTGTGCACCTCTGGCCAAGTCACTCAGCATCTGTCTGCCTCAGTTACCTCAACTGTAAAATGGGGATCATAATAGCACCTACCTCCTAGGGTTGTTGTAAGGATAAAACAAGAGATTATTTGTAAAGTGCGCAGCACAGTGCTTGGCACATAGCAGATAATGCACTTCTTCCTTTCTTTCTCCCTTCCTTCCTTTGTTCCTCCCTCTCTTTTTTTCTCTGTCCCTCCCTTCCTCCTTTCTTCTCTTCCTTTGTTCCTCCCTTCCTTCTTTCCTGCCTCCCTCCCTTCCTTCCTCCCTTTCTTCCTTCCTCCCTTTTTCTCTTCCTTCCTTTGTCCCTCCCTTTCTTCTTTGCTCCTTTCCCTCTCTTCCTCCCTCCCTCCCTCCCTTCCTTTCTTTCTTTCTTCATTCTTTTCTTCCATCCATCCTTCCTTTCTCCCTCCCTTGCTTAAAAATCTATGTACCTAATTTGAGTTTTAGGGATTTGGAAAAAAAAAATCTTCAGAATGAAGGCCCTCGTTTTTTCTGTCCTCTCTACTGTCAGACTCTAATCACCATTATCCTTAGAGATACAGCCAAACATGTTACAGAACAGCGTCACAGAAAACAACAAAACTGAAAGACAATTGGCTTGTGTTCTGGTCCCAGCCCGTCACTCACAAGCTGACTTTGGTAAGATGTTTTGCTTCCCTAACCCTCCATTTCCTTCTCTGTCAAATAAGGATGTTTGATGATCTCTAAGGTCCTTTCCTGCTCCAATATTCTATCCGTTCACGTAACTGGAGAAGGGAAGGCTGAGGTAGCTCTGACTCATCAGGAAGAAGACAGCTGAATGTGGGGGAAAAGGGAAAGGAACTCCTACTACGCACCAGGCACTGTGCTTACCACATTACAATATTATCTCATTCAACCCTCATAACAGCCACAGCAATCTGCAAGGCAGGTACCATTATTATCCCTATTTTATAGTAGGGAAGACTGAGGCACACAGAAGTTACATGACTTTCCCAGGGTTATACAGCTAGTATCTGCGGCTGGTTTTGAACTTTCTTTCTGACTCCAGGCCAGCACTCTATCCATTGAGCCACCTAGCTGCCTAAGGGAAGGAGAGAGGTTTATGGATAAAGAAGCAGACAGAGTTAGGAAGACATGTTCTCTTGTGTGACCCAGGACAAGATTCTCTGGTCCTCAGTTTCCTCATTTGTAAAATGGGAAAAATAATAGCTACTCCTTCCCAAGGTTGCTGTGAGGGTCAAAGAAGATTTTATACACACACATACACATATACACACACTATATATATATTTATCAATGACAATTATATACATATACATATATTATATATATTAATATACTAATTTGCAAACTTTAAAGCAAATGTTAGTTAATTTTATCTTTAAATCTTACAATAAGTTACATTATCACAAAATTCAAAGGACTTCACAGAAAATGAGAGGCAGAACAAGCAGACTTTGTTAGCCATGCCTGTGGGCTCTGAGTAGCCTCCACCAGTGGTAGCCAAGAAGGAATGTAATCACTTCGAATGCCAGAGGCTTATCTGGAAGCTTTGTCCCTATACAGTATTATCCCCCTGCCTCTAGGTTCACCCTCTTTTCTCAGTCAATCGATGGGTAATCTTAAGACTCAGGATTTCAAAGCCTACCTTTGAATGCTTACTATCTGTGTAAGGTCACTTCTCATAACAGGGCCTCAGTTTCCTCATCCATAAAATGAGGGAGGTAGACTAGATGTCCACTGAGGTCCCTTTCAGTTCTATTGCTACAGTACGAGGTGCTGATGCTACAAAGTTCTAACTCTTGTGGGTGATTTGGAGATACTGACATGCCAAAAAAATCTAGTTATGAGTTATAGCCAGAATGTGCCTCAGAGATCATCTAGTAACTCCTTTCCCCCTCTTTTTGAAAGTGGGGAACTAGCACCCAGAAAAGTAAAATGATTTGCCCAAGGTCAAACAGCTAATTAGTGGTATAGGTCAGCACTCCAACCCAAGGTTCTAGACACCAAAACTTTCCTTGACATCACAAACCTGCTTTACTACCTGTTCCAAGCAGATTTAGCGACTTGTATGAAAAGCAAGAGGGAAAAAAAGACCCTGAGGGAAATATTCTTTGTGCCCAGACTCAGGAGCAAGGGAGAATGCTTGGCCTCAGTCAATTAACTAAAAAGGGCTTGCCTTTCTTCTCTGGCAGTAATATTCCTTGTTCCAGGTGATCAGGGCGCTTATAAGGGCTATGAAGCCCGGACCCTGGGTTTTACATTTACATTGTATTTTCTGTTTGCCCCCTCTGCAGGTTACAGTGACCTCTTGGCAGAAAGGCAGAAAATCCTCCCAGTTGCTGCCAGCACCCATTGCTATCAAGCCATACGGGAGCTCCCACTGCTCTCCAGAGAGAGGAGATTTCTCTGTAATTTACTGAAACTGGTTGGGAGGTGGGGAATAGGAGCAAAGGGGGAAGAGAGGATGAGAATCTTGACTATTTTTATAAGCAGTAAAGGGTTAACAACATCATAGGATTATCCATTTGGAACTGGGAGGAGCCTCATGGGTTAATGAGTTGAAGCTTCTCCTTTTGTATATGAGAAAACTGAGGCTCAGGAAGGTTAAATAATTCACCTAAAATAACACAGGTGGGACATACCATAGCCAGGATTCAAACCTGGGTCCTCTGACCGCCAACTTCAGGATTCTCCCCACTGAAGAGAAAGGATAGCTATAAGAATAGCTGGACCCAGAGAGTTATCCTTTACGTATAAATTATCCTTTCATCTCTTCACAAAGCTTACTTCTCATTCATTATTCATCACATGGGGAAAGAGGGAAGGAAAGAAGAGAGGGTAAAAGTCAAATATAATTGTCATCTATTCAGTATTCACTTGGATACCCCTTACCTGGGCAGTGGAGGAGCCCAAGACTATGCCAAGGTATAGTAACAATAGGAAAGAATATAAGGAAAAAAAATAAGAATGAGAAAAAATAGTAATAACAGCAATAATAATAGTGTCTAATCTCTATACAGCACTTTAAGGTGCATAAAACATCTTAAACATATTATCTTATTTGATCCTTCCAACTTCTCTATGAGATAGGTGCTGTCATTATCCCCTTTTATAGGTGAGGAATCTAAGGCTGAGAAGGATTTTGAGCCTAAAAAGATAACATAAATAATAATAATAACAGCTGGAATTTCTATCACACTTTAAAAGTTTACAAAACCCTCGACTCCCATTATTAGCTCATCTAAGCTTCCCAAACCACCCTGTCAGGTAGGTATTACCTCACAGGTTTCATCTCTGATTTAAAAACTTCGCAGCCTTAGCAGAATCATTGAATTTCAAAGCAAAAAAGAAAAGCCTTAAAATTATCTTGTCTAATCATATTGCCTCGTTTTTTACAGATGGGGAAACTGAGGCCCAGGGAAGGGAAATGACCTGCCCAGGGTCTCCTGCAAATGATTAGAGGCAGTTAGTATTAGAAGCCAAGTTTCCCAACTCCTAGTTCAGGGCTCTCTTCAGTCTCTCACAATGCAATCTACCTGAGCCCACAGACGCCCCTTGAGCGCAGTCACAAACATCCCTTCCCTTCTGTAAGAACCTGTATCTCCTCAGCTCTGGTAACGCTAAAAACAGATGACTCCTGAGACAGGTGCATACCCTCCAGCAAATCCTCCCTATCTATTTCTGTGCAAAATCTTCTTTGCAGTTGAGAGAGATTTTACCAAGCATCTCACCCTGTCAGGAGGATGCCGGAAGGCCCAGCTCTGCTCCTCTCCTCTCCTCTCCACTCCTCTCCACTCTTTTCTTGCCTGCGCCCTTGGTGATGTCTGATGGCTGGTGCTGGAGGCAGTATTTATAACCCTCTGCGCACGCACCCCTGCCTCTCTCACTCCCGTCTGCCAACCTTAATGAGTCATACACAAAGAATGCCCTGGAAACGTTCAGGGAGCGTTCTGGAAGCTGGCAGCTGGAATCAAGGCAGGCTGCGGCGGGAGAAGAGTGGCAGCAGGGGGCACCTGCGCTCTGTGGATGGAGGAGGAGGAGGAGGAAAAGGACTGCAGTTTACCCGGGACTCAGCTCCTGAGCTGCAGTGAGGCAGTGACGGAGAGGGGAGAGAGTTATGGCATCACCCGTCTGTGCGCAAGGGAAGAGAGAGGCAAAAAGGGCAAGATTTGGGGGAGCGAGGGTTAATGCAAAAGTTGGGAAAGTGACCCCCGCCCCCAGAAGGGAGGCATCTTTCTTAAAACAGTATATACATTGTATACCCCCCTCCCAAAGTCTTTCATCCCAGAGAGGGCATTTTCCAAGAGCCTGCCAGAAGAAGGGTTTTGTTTTTCATTCTAGAGACAAGAAGGGAAGCTACTGAAGATTTTTGAGTCAGGGAGTGACGCAGTCAGGCCTATGCTTTAGGAATATTAATTTGGTAGCTGTTTACAGAAAGGTCTGGAAAGAAGAAAGCCAAGAAATAGGGAAATTAATCAGATGGCTATTACATGAGCCCAGGTGAGTCAGGGGGAAGCGGGCAGGCTGGTGGGCTTATGAGTGGAGACAAGGGGATGCTTCTCCTTCCTCCCCCCAACCTGGGCTCCTTGAAATGCAGGTGTAGAGAGATCTGAAATCCCCTAACTATGTACCACCACTCATGGCCTAATTCCCAGTTCCCCAGGCTAAATCATTCTGTAAAAAAGATTCTTCACCAAGGGAACGCTGAAGGCAGTAACAGCAATATTGTTCTAAGAACAACTTTGAACGACATTCTGAGTATTATAAATACTCGAATCAGCTGCAGAGGACCTATGAAGGGAGATGCTATCTGCATAGAAGTATGCATAATATGGTTTTACATATATATGTATATGTATATACGTATTTTTGATTAAGATGGTGTGGGGAAGGAGGGGGAAAAATAAAAAGTGCAGAGTAGAGAACAAAAGAAAATTTGGAAGCACACAAAAGCAGGGTAGCTTTGAAAACAATGTGTAGGGGAAGCTAGGTGATGCAGTGAATAGAGCACACCCCCCCCCCTTGGAGTCAGGAGAACCTAAGTTCAAATTTGGCCTCAGACACTTAACTAGCTGTGTGACCCTAGGCAAGTCATTGGACCCCAATTGCCTCAAAAAAAGTGGTGTAGTATTTATTACATAGTTTTTCAAAACAAACAGTGGGAAACGAAAATTCATGGTTTTATACTAAATCCTCTTTTTATGTTGTGCTGTGTACATGAAAATGGTCTCTTTTTTGCATTTAAGTTCAAAATAAATTTTAAAAATTTAAATGATTTTTCACACTGAACCTATTACCTATGATCCCATTTCAATGTGGGATGGGAGGTCAGGATCTGTGCAGAATTGAGGGGTCAGAGTGAGAGACGCAGCTATGGGGGCACAGAGAGAGCATTGGGTTTGAAGTCAGAGGCATTAAGCTCGAATCCTACCTCTGGAGGTGATCGGGGCCAGTCAGATACCCTCTGTGGGACTCTGTTTCTTCAGATATAAAAGGGAGAAAAGGAAACCTACCTTACAGAATCATGAAGATCAAATGAGATTATTGTATATAGAACACTCTACAAATTATGAAGTCAATGTCAGTTTTTATTATTCAGTCCAATCTTAGCAGGAAGCTGGTAACTACGCTTTGTGGCCCAGAAATGCCAGGAAACCCTTCTCAATCCAGGAGCTAAATTGAGACCTTTGCATGGGAAAGCAGATAGTCTAGATTCCAGACTCTAGAAGGCCATTAGCTGGTAAATGTTGTTGAGTTCCAGAGACATGGTCCAGGAAAAATGTTAGAGAAATCTCCTGTAGGAATATTAATGAGCCATTTTGGTCAAGGTCACAGATGTAGAGTTAGAAGGGAGGTCATGCAGTCTGACAGCTTTATTTTACAGGTGAGGAAACTGAAGCCCAGAGAAATGAAGTAATTTGCCGAGGGTCACACAAGGATCAGGACCACTAGGATGAACTACCATGTTTCTTTTCAGTGGAAAAGGCACTGTAATGTAGTTGAAGGATATGCTTGCCTTGGGTCTTCGATGAGCTGGTAATGGGTAGAGTCACTCCTTGGGGCTTCTTGTCCAGGATAATATGACTAGTAAGTATCAAGAGTGGGATTCAAACCCAGGTCTTGGGGCAGCTAGGTGAAGTGGATAGAGCACCAGCCCTGAAGTCAGGAGGACCTGAGTTCAAATCCAGCCTCAGACCAAACACTTGACACTTACTAGTGGGCAAGTCACTTAACCCCAATTGCCTAAAAACAAACAAACAAAAAAACAGGTCTTCTTGCCTCTAAGACCCATACACTATCTGATGTACTGCACCACACTTCATCTCAGGTTCTATAACTTGAGAAATCCCTTATATCCTCATCTGTACCTAGAAAATAATGCCATATATATGTGTATGTATATGTGTATTATATATACACATATATATACATATACACATGCACATGCATATATATACATATATATATACATATATACATATACACACACACACACACACACACACACACACACACACACACACACACACACACACACATATATATATATATCTCCTGTTCTGCCTTATGGGGTTGTGAAGTTAAAACAAGATAATAAGTATAAAATATTTTTAAAAACATAAGCTTATCCTATAAATATTTCTGTAAACTTCTTAATAATTATAATAATAATAAAAATGGATTGGGCATCCTTGGGATTCAAACCATGATGAGAGGGCTTCAAACAGAGAGAGACTGGGAATGTTGTAGAGAGAGTTTCTATTCAGATGGGGGTTGGATTAGATGGTAATAGAGGAGTTACTGTAAATCCTGACTATCTTCCCACAAGAAATCTGACTCACCCCCACTGACTGGGGCCCCTCTTGCATGGACTGGCCAAGCTAGAAAGAAACAAATTATGTACTGGCAACGTTAAACCTCCAGTTGTTAATGATTACTCTTTAACAATTACTGTTCTTGTTCTTTTGGCAAGGGACAATGAGGGTAGGAGGAGAATATCTCAGAAAACTGATAATAAACATTCTTTACTATTTTTATGATCTGTTGGCTTGTTTGGAAATGATCTCACCAACAATTAAGCTGTTTAATTATTATCTCTATGCACATAACGTCCATTTCTTTATATTCGGCTCTAATCTCTTTTCTGAACTCCAATCCCTCATCTCCAAATGCCTGCTAGACATCTCTGGTGGATGTCCCATTGGTATCTCAAACCCTGCATGTCTAAAACAGAATTCATTATAAATTCTCTCTGCTTTCCAAAAAACTTATCCTTCTTTCAAAATTCCATTTGTGTTGTTCCACCTAGGCAGCTAAGTATCACAGTGCATAGAGCCTAGGACTTGAGAGTCAGGAAGACCTGAGTTCAAAACCTGCCTCAGATACTAGTTGAGTGACTCTGGGCAAATCACTTAATCATGCTATGCCTCAGTTTCCTCAGTTGTAAAATGGGCATAACAGAACTGATCACAGTGTTGTGAGGATCAAATAAGTTAATCTATATTAAATGTTTTACAGATTTTAAAGTGCTATATGAATATTAATAATACATAAATAATAGTAACTATTATTATTTGTGTTGAGAACAATCACTCTCTTTCTAGTCACCAGGCAAAGTTATCCTTAACTCTTTCCTTTCCATCACTGCCCATATCCCATTAGTTGCCGAGTCTTATCCATGCCACCTACATGATATTTCTTCTATTCATCATCTTCTCTCTCTTCATAGACCCCCTACCTTGCCCCCTTTCACCTCTTCCCTGTCTATCAAAATAGGCTCCTGATGGGTTTTTCTGCTTCCCGTGTCTCTCTAGTCCATTCTCTGAAGCTGCTAAAGTGATCATCTGAACACAGGTCGGACCACTTCATTTGAGTTCTCAGCCTAGCATTTAAAGACATCCACAATGTGGCTGTCATTCACCCTTCTAGACTAAATGCATTGAATAGCTGTTCCCTCAGCGCAACAAATCATCTCCTCCCTCATTGCATTTGCATTTGAAATATACCCACTCTTTATTTGCACCTCTTGGAATCCCTAGTCTGGTGCAAAGCTCAGCTCAGATACCACCCCCTAGATCAAGCCTTTCCTGATTCTTTCACTCCTTAATGCTTTGTCCCTCCTAAAACCACTTTGCATTTACTTCTCTTGATACAGTGAAAAGAACAGGGGCCCTAGGAGCCAGAGGACCTTGATTTATATCTTGCCTCTGTCATTTACTAGCTGTGTGACTCCAGGCAAGTCACTTAACCTCTCTGGACCTCAGTTTCTTCAAACTGACAAATAAGGGGCTGGAATAACTGACCTCAGAGGTATCCTCCAATTCTTTGATCCTATGTTTTATGTCTATGTTGCACATACTTCCCCACCCCCAGAATGTTAGTCCCTTGAGGGTAGGGACTGTTAAGTTTTTGTCTTTATATCACTGTGATTTAGCCTAGTTCTTGGCACATGGAATATTATTCAGTATTGTAAGATAATCAACTTTGAAAGATTTCCTAACTCTGACTGACACAATGACCAACCACAATCCCAAAGGCCTCATGATGAAACATACCAGAATGCAGATTGAAGCATATTTGTATTTTATTTTTTCTTTTCTTTCTGTTTTGGATATGGCTAAGGCAGGAATTCTTTTTTGCATGACTATACATATTTGTAACAGGTTTTATTTTTCTTACTTATTCAGTGGGTAGAGGAGGAAGAGAAAGGAGGGAGAGCATTCAGGACTGAAAATAAAGTTGAATTTAAAAAGAAATGTTTGTTGACTCAAAGTAAAAACAATGTTTCCTAATTTTTTTTCTTAACCATTATCAGTAAATGAAAATTCCTACTAATGT